GCACGTAGCTGATTTTTTTTAAAGGTGAGGTAGTTCTAGCCTACCACCTGCTGGGGGCCCTCTCACACCTCCCTCCTGCTTAGCCCCGTCCAGGCTCTGGGGCTTCTGGCTATGGTTGAGTTGGCTCCCTGTAGCCCTGCTGGATTTAACTAATAAAAAAAAAAATTATAGGGCAGCAGTTAAATCTGAATTTCAGTAGGACAATGAATAACTTTTCAGTATAAGCATGCAATATTTCACACACATGAGTAAAAGCATTATTGGCCAGTCCTGCATATAATCTAACAACTGTAGAGAGAAGAGAGGGGTTGGGCTTCCAAATCTGAATGTGCCACCTGTTTCCTGTGCGGACCCAACCCGACACATAAGAATGAATACCAGAAGGTTCTCAATGTGATTGCATAGGAGCTAGCAAAAATGAAAAATAACACTATGAAATCTCTTAATATATACTATTGAGAGAGTGAGAGTATGTGTTTGTGCCAGAGAGAGAGAGAGAGAGAGAGAGAGAGAGAGAAAGCAAGCAAGCAAGCCAGATGCCATTGGCTCATGCCTATAATTCTAACTACTGAGGAGGCTAAGATATGAGTCTCACAATTTGAAGCCAGGCAAGAAAGTCCATGACATTCTTTTTTGGCCAGTCCTGGGGCTGGAACTCTGGGCCTAGGCATTGTCCTGGAGCTTTTGTGTTCAAGGCTAGCACTCTAAAATGTGAGCCACAGTTCCACTTTTGGATTTTTATGGCTAATTGAAGATAAGAGTCTCACTGACTTTCCTGCCTGGCTTCAAACCACGATCCTCAGATCGCAGCCTCCTCAGTAGCTAGAATTACGGGTGTGAATCACTGGTGCCTGGCTCTTATTACAATTACTCACCAAAACTCCAGATGTGGAGCTGTGGCTCAAGTGGTAGAATGCTGCCCTTCAGTGAAAAGTGCCCTGGCCCTAAATTCAATCCCTAGGACAGGTGTGGGGAGGAGAGGAGAGGAGAAGGGAGGGAAACAAGATTAAACTGGTGTTTGCAGCTCAAAGGTGTGGAATGAACAAAGGCCCACGGTCCTAGCAGAGTCCCTCCCATCAGAGTGCAGATTGGGGAGGAGAGCTGGGGGCTTGGCTTAGCGGTAGAACACCTGCCTGGCAACCTCAGTTCCAACTCTAGTAGCATCAAAAAGAAAAAAAAATGACTTGGGCATTGGTGGCTCTTGCCTATAATCCTAGCTACTCAGGAGGCTGAGATCTGAGGATCACAGTTCAAAGCCAGCCTGGGCAGGAAAGTCTGTGAGATGCTTTTTTCCAACAAAGAATCCAAAAGTGGAGCTGTGGCTCAAGTGGTAGAGAGCTAGCCTTGACGGGAAAAAAAAAGCTCAGGGACAGTTCCTAGGCCTGGAGTTCAAGTCTCAAGACAGGCACAAAAGAATAAAATCAATAAATGAGGGAAGTTCCTGATAGAGAAATAACAAAAGGAGGGGGCTTCTTGGAGCCAAATGAAGATCCTAACCCACAAGGACCCCCAATCCCATCTCCTATGCTACCTCCTCTCTGAGTCCGTAGGGAAACGCACCCCCCCAGCCTCTGGGCTAAGGACACCCCCATAGGGGTGCACAGCATTCGGCATCTCCCAGAGCACAGGGAGCCTCTGAGACAGAACTTCCAAAGGAACAAAACCATTTCCTTGGCACACACTGTCCCTGCTCTCCACCCTGCCTGGACTGCATGTCCTGCCTTGAGGCCCCAACCTGTGGGCCAGGCCTTGAAGGGGCAGAGGTTGCTGAGATATCTCTTACGGACCCTTCACTGAACTTTCCAAAGGGTTCCTCACACATGGGTTTGGTGGGACTCACTACCCACTTACTCACTTGAGATGCACCCAGTGACGAGTTTCAGATCACCCCAGTTATCACAGCGCCGCAAGTTCACCCTGAGGCCCTCGTAGGAGGGCCTCGCAGGCACTGAGCAGGTCGTGGGCAGCCTGTCTTCCCAGGCCATTCCGCAGGGACAAGGTGTCTTCTCTCTTGTCCTGTACTACCCTTGTGCCAATCGCTTATCTATGTAATTTGTGTGCATCCACTCAGATGGGTCTAGAAAGGCCAGAATGGGAAGATCCTATGATATTTGTGGTTATTGGAATGAAGCCTAGCACTGGAGAGATAGTGAACTAAGTGAGTGAGTAGTATTAGCTTTCTTTAGAAGTCTCCATTCTAAGGCAGGCACTAGTGGTTTGTGCTCATAATCTTAGCTACTCAAGAAGCTGAGATCCAGACCGTGGCAGTTTGTTTGGGTTTTTCTTTTTAACTGTCTTTTTTTTGTCTTTTCTTTTTTGGTACTGGGGATCCAACCCAGGGCGTTGCACTTGCTAGGCAAGCGTTTTGCCACTGAGCTACATCCCAGCCCAACCATGGCAGTTTGAAGGTGTGGTTTCAGTGGTACAGTGACAGCTTAGCAAGTAAGTTAAACTATCTGGAGGCCCCAAGTTCAAAATCCAATACCACCAAAAAACCCAGTCCCCTTTACAGCCCAGTGATGCTGTCCCACGCCTACGATACCAGCATTCACGAGGCTGAAGCAGGATTATGAGCTCAAGGCCAAGTTGAACTGCATGAAGACTTTATCTCAAAAAGAAAAACAATGTCTCTTTTCTAGATCCAATGCCTATAAAGGCAGGGAGAGAGAGTGCATGGAGGTGAGGGGAAGGGTCTCCAGGAGCCCCTCGTGGGCAGTCCAAAGGCAGAATCCTCAGCACCTCATATTACTCAGTATAACCCATAGGGGTGGGCTGGGAAGGTGGTTCAGTGGTAGAGCACTTGCCTTGTATGCAGGAGGCCCTGGGTTCGATTCCTTAGCACTACATAAGCAGCAAAAGCCAGAAGTGGTGCTATGGCTCATGTGGTAGAGTGCTACCCTTGAGCTGAAGAACTAAGGCCCCATGACTGACCAACCCCCCCCCCCAAATTAAAAAAAAAAAACCCAAAGGGGTGTTGTACCCTGACCCACAGATTGGAAACTCTGATTCACGCCTGTAATCCTAGCTACTCAGGAGGCTGAGATCTGAGGATCCTGGTTCAAAGCCAGCTGGCAAAGAAAGTCCTGGAGACTCTTATCTCCAATAAACTACTCAGAAAAAAGCCAGAAGTGGTGCTGTGGCTCAAGCAGTAGAACACTCATCTTGGGCACAGAGGTTCAGGACAGCACCCAGGCCCTGAGTTCAAGCCTGGGGACTGGCCAAAAAGTATGATTCATGAGTTCATGAATTTAATGCTCTCATGGACACATTCAGCCTACTCGATGACAGACACAGGAAGACAGCTGGGCCCCACCCGAGTGGTAGACCCACATACAACTTTACTTTCTTTTGTTTTCTGTTTGTGTGGTCCTGAGGCTTGAACTCAGGGCCTGGACACTATCCCTGAGCTTTTGTGCTCAAGGCAAGTGTTGGGCCACTTTAAGCCACTTTGAGTCTGTAATACTCTTACACACTTTCCTGCCTGGGTTAGCTTTGAACCAGAGTCCTCAGATCTCAACCTCCTGAGTAGCTGGATTACAGGCATGAGTCACCAGCATATGCCTTAAATTTTTTTTTTTCCATCTAGACATGCCCAGTCTCATCCCATGAGCGATGTGGGGTGACGTGGCTGTCCTGTGACTTGCCTACAGCGAACACGAAATGAAGTCAGAGTACAGCAGTCACGAGTGTGTCATCTGGCTGCTGCTGGACATGCACAACCCCAGTCACCACTGGGGACACTCACTGGCCAGCTGTCCCCAGACTGCCATCCTCAAGATAGTGCAGATAACTACTCTCTCCAGCTTTGAGCATGGTGGTGTTCTTGGGGTCATTCCCCCCCCCCCCCCGCATTTTATTTTTGAAATGTTTCAAACTACAGAACAATGAGGACCTGCAACCAGTTCCAGCACCCCTCCCCAGGTCTTTATTTCTTCCAGCAAGTTCGATAATACAACTCACCTGCAGTGTTGCAGTCCTCCTCATCAGGGAGGACAGTGTGTGTGGAAGCTTCCTGTGCTGTCATATACTGTCCCACTCAGGACATGTGATGACAAGAGAATGTCACTGGACAAGAGAATGTCACTGGACAAGAGAATGTCACTGTCAGGAGCCCATTGGTAGGCAGCTTCTTCCCACGTTTTATTTTGTCAGTTGTGATGGGGCTTGAACTCTCAGCCCGGTTGGTATCCCTTAGCTCTTCAGCTCAAGGCAAGTGCTCTACCACTTGAGCCACAGTACCACTTCCAGTTTTCTAGTGATTGATTGGAGATATGAGTCTCCCAGACTTTCCTGCCCAGGCTGGCTTTGAACCTCGATCCTCAGATCTCAGGCTCCTGAGTAGCTAGGGTTACAGGCGTGAGCCACCAGCTCCCCACCCACCTTATTTTAAAATCTAATTTTACTGTGGTTACTAAGGTATTGTTTAATTTTTTATTGTTATTATAAAGGTGATATACACAGGGGTTACAGTTTCACAAGCCAGGTAATGAGTCCATTGTTGTTGTTTTTTTTAACAATGTCACCCCTTCCTTTGCTTCCTCCCAGTTTTCCCTACCCACAGTTGCATAGGCTACTTTCCATATAGTGTGTATTGAATAGCATAATGTCTTCCCACATTTAAAAAATTTTTTTACCTCTTTTTTTTTTATTGTGAAAATGCTATACAGAGGGGTTACAATTACATGGGCAAGGTAATGAGTACATTTCTTTTTTTTTTTTTGGTCCGGTCGTGGGGCCTGAACTCTGGGCCTGGGCGCTGTCCCTCAGCTCTTCAGCTCAAGGCTAGAGCTCTACCACTTGAACCATAGCGTGACTTCCGACTTTTTTCTTTTTGCTTATGTGGTGCTGAGGAATTGAACCTAGGGCCTCAGGCATGCAAGGCAAGCGCTCTACCACTGAGCCACCTTCCCAGCCCCATGAGTACATTTCTTATCAAGCATTGTTGCCTCCTCCTTTGTTTCCCCTTCCCGTCCCTTCCCATCTTCCCCCCGCACCCCACATTTTAATGCATCTTTTCCTTGGGATGGAGTCTTGGCGAAGTATTTAAATTGGTCAGAAACAAAAATGCAAAATGAAACTGGAGCACATCACAGACTTTGGACCAGAAGTGGCCTGTGAGGCGCTGGAAAGGAAGCCACTGGGCAAGCTCATGGTCATACAGCTTGAGGAGCACAAAACCCAGGCAGGAGAGCATGCCCAAGGCTAAGTAGGTGGCTGAGGTGTCACTGCCATACCGCCTGTGGGTGCGGAGGGCCTGCCCAACAGCAGCCACCACGTGAGTACCCAGTGCCACCTCGAACCCCTGCGGGTGCAGCAGGGCAAGGCCATAACTGGACAGGGACAGGCCCTCGATGCAGAGCAACAACCAAGGTGCCCAGCCTCTATCTATGGAGAGACACCAGGCCACCACCCAGGCAAATATAGGCAAGGTCAGCCACTGGTCAAGCACCGCAGCAGGGTGTGTCTGTGTCCAGATCCGTAGCCACTGAACAGGACCGTAGACCAGGGCCATGCTGGCAAAGACATCCTTCAGGTACTGAGCTCTCTGCAGCTCGGTGGCATGGCCCAGGGTACCAACATCTGTCCACATCCAGCACGCTCCCAGTAGCACGTAGGCCAAGTTAATGAGTGAGTTGAAGGGCATGGCTAGGAAGGCAGGCAGGCGCTCATCCATGGCTTCCGCATAGTGCTCAAAGCCCACTTGCACAAAGACATCCTCGAAAAAGCCCATGTACACTGTGGCTGCACACAGGCCGCTGGCCACGCACACATGGCAGATGGCCTGCCATGACTCAGGCTTCATCTTGACTTGGCTAGAGAGCTGAAAAGCATAGCCGTCTTCACCTTTATTCAGAATTCAGATAAATGGCCTTTGCAAAGCATTCCTGGGCCTCCCAGCTGAGCCAGCAGGAAGAAGTCTCTGAGATTTCTGCTACAGATGCTAAGACTCTGCCCTGGGGTGGCTGCAGCAGGCTGGAAGAAGGCAGGAGGCTTTCTGATTGGCTGGCGCGAGGGGCCGACTGAGCTGCCTTCTTCCTTTGTGCTTATGAAAAGAATGTGGTTAGAAAAAAAAAAACACCTTCTAAAAAGGAGCCTCCATCTTCCCCCTTGTCAGCTTCAGGATCCACTCACATTTTCCATCAAACAAAGTAAATAAGAGTGAAACAGTACTGTGTCTTCACCTTCTAGCTCACTATCTCTAGAAATCTCTGTTGCATACAGGCTTTGCACCTTTCCTCTCTTGGTTCCTACATGGTGCGTATTATACAGTCCTGCTCACTGTGTTTGGTAGAACACAGGAAGCTCCCCCCCCCCCCCCCCCCCCCCCGCAGCCTCCAGTCAGAGGGATTATAAATATGCAGCTTTCTAGCCCAGCCACAAAGCCCTTTTGTGTGCCAGTCCTGGGGCTTGAACTCAAGGCCTCAGCACTGTCTCTGAGCTTCAGTTTACTGGACTAGTGCTCTCCCACTTGAGCCACAGCTCCACTTCTGGCTTTTTGTGAGTAGTTTACTGGAGATGAGTCTGACATAGTATTGTGTGTTCTACAGCTAAAAAGGGGGAGGGGGAGTCTCACAGCCAGCACCAGTGATTCATGCCCATTATCCTAGCTACTCCAAAGGCTGAGACCTGAGGATCGTGGCTAGTAGCCAGCACAGACAGAAAAGTCTCCATGAGACTCTTATGTCCAAGCAACCACTCAAAACCTGGAAGTTGAACTGTGGCTCAAAGTGGTAGAGTGCTAGCCTTGAGCAAAAAGAGCCCAGGGACAATGCTCAGACCCATGACTGACCAAAAAACAAAAAGAGTCTCACAAACTTGGCTGCTTTTGAACCATGATCCTCAGATCTCAGCCTCGTGAGCAGCTAGGAATACAGGCATCAGCCACCAGTGCCTGACTAGCCAGGACTTTTTGCTGGTTATTTTGCAAGGCAAGCGCTCTACCACTGAGCCACCTTCCCAGCCCCTTGCTGGTTATTTTGAAGATGGGGGTCTCACAAACTTTTCTACCCAAACCAACTTTGAACCGTGATCCTCTAGACTTCAGCCTACTAAGTAGCTAGGATTATAGGCATGAGCCACCAGCACCAAGGCACAAAGCCCTTTTTAACCAAATCTCCAGATGAACTAGAAAACAGTACATGCAGTACAGAATTTGGCAATGTGGCCTGCACTAGAAAAGGGTGACAACCCCAAATCACCATTTTTCTCTGCTCTATGACAAAACCTTTCACTGCCTGCAGTCATAGAACCAGACTATCACAGTTAATGGTTGTGGGACCTGTGGTGTGAGTGAGCAAAGAAGTACAGATGTATAGGAATTGTTTTCTTCTTTTTTTTTTTTTTTTTTGTCGGTCGTGGGGCTTGAACTCTGGGCCTGGGTGCTGTCCCTCAGCTCTTCAGCTCAAAGTGAGCGCTCTACCACTTGAGCTACAGCGCCACTTCCGGTTTTCTGGTGGTTTATTGGAGATAGGAGTCTCACGGTCTCTCCTGCCCGGGCTGGCTTTGAACCACGATCCTCAGATCTCAGCCTCCTGAGTAGCAATTGTTTTCTTCTTGAGACAGGGGGTTGCTCTGTAACCCAGACTGGCCTTGGAATCACAATCCACCTGTCTCTACCTCAGCTCCTGTCAGGGTGTCATGTGTACAATCATACCTGGCCAGAAATGCATTGACACTGGGAGGAAGATGTTCAATACCATGAAAAATGACTCAGCCAACAAGGCAAGCACACAGACATGAAGGACAGCCCTCAACACCCCGAGCCCCACCCCCGCTGTCCTCCAACACCAGTCTCTCTTCCACTCCTTACTCTCCCTCTTACTAACTAGTCACGAACCATTCTAGGTCTCAATGTGCTTATCTTCAAAATGTGGGAGCTAATAGCACCTTCATGCCACGGTCCTCACATCTCATATCTGAGTAGCTAGGACTACAGGCGTGAGACACTGGCACCTGGCAAAACCCAGTCTCTTGGTCAGATTTGAAGGACTACCCACAGATAGTGTTAAAAGCTCCTAAGGGGAGCCGGAGTGAGAGTTCTAGGCTCTCCTGTCTGCTGGAAAGCAGGCTGGCAAGCTGGGAACAGGACTTAAACATGGTCAGCTTGACTGAGGAGGAAATCCAGGAAGGGTATAGAAAGCAACTCTTCTTTCCTGAGATAGGAAAGTGTCTACCTTAGGCCAGGCTGAAAGTGCTAAGCAATCAAATCAATTGTCCAAGTTCCCCAGAAAAATCAGGCTGGTTACTATGTAGCTTAGCTCCTCCAGACCCCACAATTGCTACAACCCTTGCTCTGTGGCTTATTGTTTCTCAGAGCTTCTCCTGGAACCTGGCAGATGATGGTTCAACAGCATTGACTTTGGGGTCCGGGGTCCTACAAATTGTAAAACAAAATTTGAGACAGATTCTCAATGTGTGGCTCAGTCTGGCTGCATAATTCAAGACCCTCTTGTCTTAGCCTGCTGAGTGCTGGCACTGCAAGTATGCGCCCTCAGACCTAGTTAATTATGAAAATTTCCTAGGTGAGGGGCTTCCATCAAACAAGCTCTTTAGACTTCCTTGCTTTCTGTGACTGCATACATTACGCAGCAGCCACTATCACCTCCAGCTGAAGGAATAGAGGTGGTTTCTTTGTCCTGTAGCATTTATGACAGCTGTTGGGTCCATATGCACCCCCCCCTTGCTGTCTTATTTGGGGACATAATTTAGTATATGCATAGCAGGTGAGGACGACCTGAGGCAAATGCAAGCCCAAGCAGCCCAGAGCAAGCACCGTGGCTTTTGAATTTGAGGGAGATACATGATCAATCCAGAGAAGATCATGGGAAAATAGCTGCTCAGTTTCCTGATTTTGGGCGGGAGGGTCTTGGGGGCCAGAGAGGTCATGACCTGAGAAAGTCACACAGAGCAGTCGATGACATGGTCATGTTATAAGCAAGGTGTCTTTGGCTGTGCTACAGTGCTCTATGACATTTTCATGTGCTTCCAAGTGTATAAACTAAAACATAATAAACTCAATAAGTGTAATAGGTGGAAAGAAGATTTCAGTATTTCTGAACAAGTATGATATGGTAATGTATGTGCTTCTTTACTAACATAGTAAATTACAAGTTGTTGTAATTGTGAGATCTTACAGTTTAGTTTGTTACACTTGTCTATAAGTATAGAGTGTGAAATGATCTGTCTATTTTCTTTTTTTTTTTTTTGGTCCGGTCATGGGGCCTGAACTCTGGGCCTGGGCGCTGTCCCTCAGTTCTTCAGCTCAAGGCTAGCACTCTACCACTTGAGCCACAGCGCCACTTCCGGCTTTTTTTTTTCTTTTTGCTTATGTGGGGCTGAGGAATCGAACCCAGGGCCTTGAGCATGCAAGGCAAGCGCTCTACCACTGAGCCACCTTCCCAGCCCCTCTGTCTATTTTCTTTAGGAACAAAGTCCCGGTTTGGGTAATGCTCTGTGCTCTGCTTCCCATACCTGTAATATCAAGAAATGTTCTTTTGCGACGAGAGATTATTGATAATAAAACTAAAATAAAGATGAAATAAAGTGGGGAAGCCGTCATGTGTTCATGCAATAGTCTGAGGAACACGATACCACTTAGAAATCCTAGGCTACAGCCTGCATGTGTGGCAGATGACAGGCTGTGGCAGGAGGCGCAGGAGGCGTCCTGGGAGACTTGGGGCATGAGGGTGATGCTGGTACCCACCTTTCAAGGTTGTCGTGAGAATTCAGAATATTGGCGCGAAAAGGCCAGCAACATCCATCCGGGTATTTTTTTGTCTGTCTTGCTTTGCTGGGGCAAATTCAAATCGAGAAAAAGGGCGGACCCGAAAGGCGACCCTGCGCCTGCGCAAGGGGCGGGGTGTGGAGCCCTGGGAAGCAGGCGGGGCGAGATGACGTGGGAAGACGCGAATGATGTAAGCAGTTCCCTAGCTCGCCGTTCCAGACCTGCCGGCTCTCCGCCCGCCCCGCGGCTAGCAGGACTTGTGCGGGGCGACAGAGGAGGCTTGGCGCGTCGCGGCCCCGTGCATGGCCCGGGCTTATTTCTCTGAGACCAGCAGGGAGGCAGCGGTGCCGGGGGCCGTGCTGCCGGGCCTGGGAGCGGGCAGCAGCTCCGCCCCGGTGCGCTCATCCGCGTCACCGCCCACGCTGAGCCCGCCCCCAGCTTCCGTTCCCGAGCCGCCTCTTGCAGCTCCCGTTTGTGGGCGGGAAAACGGCTACTTCCCAGTCGGAGACACAAACTACAGTATCTCTTTCCTGCTACCTTTAACAATATGTGCCCCGACCCCCACTAGTGGTTAAAAGGTCACTCCTCGGCATGTATCCGTTCAATCCGAGAGCGTTTTCCCAGGGGGGCGGGGCTGAGTGCGTCGCGGAGTTAGTATTCTCATCCGGGCATCCCCAAGTGCCGCCGCCATCTTTGTTTTGTGCTGAAAGTCGCTATTGACGCCCACGGCCGGCCGGGCGAGAAGTGGCAAGATGGCGGCTCCCAGAGCGGAGGCGTGGAGGCGCCGTGGGAGGGAGGGAAGTGGGGCGGAGCACACTTGCACACTTGACTCAAGCCCAGCTACAGCCCTAGTCCACTGCGTACCAGCGCCGGCCTGCAGGTCTGCAAGCAGTGGGGGACTTTAAGAGAACTGAGCCCAGAGGCGTAGCCGTGCGCGGGCGGGGGAACGATGACGTAGACCGACTCCACCCCCTCGCCCGACCGCCGCCGCCATGTTTAGTTGTTACTTCTTTACACAAGATGGCGGCTCCCAGGGAGGAGGCATGAGAGCCCTGCCGTTACCGCTCCTCCTGCCGTACAGTTGCCACCTCGAGGCCTAGCTCTGGCTCTTTGGATCGGCTCCTGTGGGAAGGAGTCATAAAGAGGGAAGCGAAGACCGGACACTGCCTTGCATTTGGTTTGCATTGGAAGAACTAACCCAAGAGGAAGAGAATAGGGGGGAAGGGGGAGGTAGTCTCAAGATGGCGGCTCCCAGGGCAACAGGCGCAGCCTGAGCAGGAGACGAACTCAACGGAGAGGTGCAAGACCTCACGACCTGTACGGCCTGTGCTCTCGGGAAGTCCCTGACAGATCGGTCTGGTTGCCTTGGCTTTGGGCGCGCCTCCATTCCTTAGGAGTGTCGAGGTTGTTTTGGGAGTGGCGGCTCTACTAACTGCTGGGCGGGGAAGCGGGACGGTCTCAAGATGGCGACTCCCACAATTGTGGTTTAAGCGCCGGCGGGGTTGAGACGATCACGGCGTTTGTGGCTCCTTTCCACCCGCCCCGGAAGCCAGCCAGTGCTGAGCACTTGGGGGTGTGGGAACCGGGCCGGGGCTCCGCCATTTCCGGCGGGGGAGGGATACGACTGAGGAAGGGAGGAGAGAGAGGCGTCTCAAGATGGCGGCTCCCAGAGCCTCTCGCCCGAGCTTGTAAGCCGGAGGATCCAGGCAAATAGTCAGGGCGGCGGGACTCAGTGGCCTCCAGCTTTTTGGGCCTAGGTGCTCGACAGTTCCGGAAATCTTGCGAGAAGACCGGGCGAGTGAGAAGAAGGGGAAGAGCCAAGGGGTAGGGGGGTAGTTAAGATGGCGGCCTCCATGGAGTCGTCTACCGCGGTGTGAACAGCCGCTTCTCCGTGAGAGCTGCCTTAGACCAAAGGGGGTGTGTGTTCGGAATTGAGGGTCTCCCTTCCTGCTCGGCAACTTCGTTCCACCTCACCCTTTCCTGTAACCATGGCTTCGGCCGTGTCGCCCGCCAACTCGCCAGCGGTGCTCTTACAGCCCCGCTGGAAGCGAGTGGTGGGCTGGTCGGGTCCCGTGCCCCGACCCCGCCACGGCCATCGAGCCGTGGCCATCAAGGAGCTCATCGTGGTATTTGGCGGCGGCAATGAAGGGATAGTGGACGAACTGCACGTGTATAACACGGGTGAGTGCAAAGCCCGCTGGGTCGCCTAGATCCTTCCCTCCATCTCCCTCTCCCTCTTTCCCTCTCTGCTCATCCCCTCCCCTTCCCCCCGCCTCTTTTTCCTCCCTCCCTTCCCCCCCCTTCCCCCTCCCTTTCCGCACTCCTCTGCTCCCCGTTTTGCTCTGCCGGTTTCTCTGCTCTTCCTCGGTCTTCTCCCCCATCCTGACACCCCCGGACTTTGCGGGGTTTCGGTGTTACATTTTGTTACTTGGATGCAACGCCGTAGTCCGGAGGGGAGGGAACAGGAGTAGGGTATCGCACCGTTGGTGACTTCCGACGTACTCCCGTTACCCGGCTGGAGGAGGAGGGCGGAGGTGGCCCCCTCCTCTTCTCTTCCTCATCCTGGGTGCCCATGCCCATTCAGGAGAAATGACCAATTCCAGATTACAAATACCTTCTCTGCCTCTAGTAAAACCGAGGAAAGCACTCTCAGGGGCGAGAGTTGTAACAGCCTACCGAACCACTTCCCACATTATGCCTCTGGCTTCTTAGAGACCCATAGGATAAGTGGGTGTGCATCCTTCTGCCTTTGGCATTTCTGCATCTTTTTATTTATTTATTTATTTATTTACTGTGTGTGTATGTGTATGTGGGTATGTGGGGGAGGAGGGACAGAGAGATCCCTTTTTTCCCCCAGTCTGGTCCCTTCCCTTGAGGAGATGAATTCATGTCCCTGCAGTAGGCCAGGTGGTCCAGCACTTCCCTCTTGAGTGTCACGGAAGCGGCTATCCTGCCCCTTCTCCCTTCCCTCCTAAAACCAAGCTTTTGTTAATTGTGAGGGGCCTCTGCAGGTATAGCTGACACACCATCTGGCCTCTGCCCCTTCCCTCATGGGAGCCACATGTCCCTTGCCTGGTCGCCGTGTTGAGTCTCTAGGGCAGCAAGCCTGCTGCCTCATCACCACAGCTTTATCCCATCCTTCCCCTGCGGTGGCTTCTTGGCCCTGGAGTAGCACAGTGGCCCTAAGGACCCTCGCCTTGCTCCAGTCTCGTGGAGGCTGGGCTATGAGTGTGGAGGACCGCAGCAGGGCAGGAGAGCAGCCAGCACTGGTGGGATTCAGGAAGCTCCCGTCTTGTAGCATTGCTTTGTATGCCATGGCTACTTGCCAGCTCCTTTGCCCCCTCTCCCTCGTTCATCTTCCCACAGCTCTACTGGTCACTCCCAGGCACCTCCTCTCGCGTTGATGGGTGCCGCAAGCGCCATTTTTCTGACTGGCCTCAGTTGTCTACTTGCTCCAGGGCTGGCAACAGGCAGCAGGAGAGAGAGTTTTGGTGCAAGTGCGGGGTGGGCCTCCAGTGCCTCTGAGGTTATTTCCCCCTACCAAGTTGACTTTGAAAGGTTGGCAGGGTGCTGCTCACTCTTTGCATTCCTGGTCTCCTCAGCACCTGTTGCCTCTAGGGAGCAGGGCTTTTCTCAGGGCCTCCACAGGAAAGGGGGGGGGTCACTGGGGCTTGGGCCCAGGCAGCTGCAGGGACAGGAATTAGCCCGGTAAGCTAAAGCCAAGGGCAGGGATGGAACCTCTCTGGTGGTAGGGCTGTTTTTAGAGATGCCCTAGCCAGGAGTGGCACTGGGCTCTGCTCCTTGGACCAACTTTCTCTTAAGGCCTGGAGCAGGCTCCCTGGCAGGGAAATGCAATTTTAGAAAGTAGGGCAGGGGCCTAATTACAGTCAGCTCCAAAGTCCACTGCAGGCCCTGCCTTGGCTCCCTGGGGCCTCTGCATATTCATTAGTTTATTAAAATGAATTGACCACTTTGGCATTCATTCTGTTAACCAGTCTGCAAAGATAAGATGGGTGTTAGCTAGCCATCCTTTACAGTCAGGGTAGCATTTTGGAAATCATCACAAGGTATTTCTTAGGTGACTTGAAAGAGCAACTAGGAGACTTGTTCTTCTCCAAACTGTGTCCATTATTTTGGCAGATCCAGGATGTGCCCAGCTCAAGCTCTTGGGTTCTAATGGGTCTTGATGCTATCTTGGCTGCCCGGCCTTTCCAACTGCAGCCTCTCCCACTTACTTACCTTGGTTTTGTAGAAGGTATTCTTCCCCCGACTCTGCCCCTAGCACCTTCTGTGGAATCAGCCCTTGAAAAGGCTTTTCTCTGAAGACCAGGCGTGTCTGGATGCCTTGCTCAGTACTGAAGGCTCTTGGGGTGTGCATGCCTTGCTGACTGGGTCAGCAGTGCAGTCTGGAGGTGATGATATATGGGGTGCAGTATGAGACAGAAAGCAAGCACAGGTTCTTCCTCTTTGGTGGCAGCTACCACAACACCAGAGGGGGCCGTTGACTGGCCTTTGGTAGTTGGTAGGGTAGCTGCTATTCTTGTCTTCAGGGAATTTCATTTCCATGAGACAAAGTAGATTACCCAGAGGCCCTGAGCCAAAGGATTGAGAGCGCCTGTTGGAGTGGAGCGCACCCTGCTGAAGCCGCTGTGCGTGTGACTGCTTGCCCTTGCTGCCTTTTTTGGCCTCAGTGGTTTGTCAGTGTCATGGACTCTCGAAGGAAATTTGGGAGATACTGAATGGGACTTCCTTGTTTCTGTCGCTGAGGAAATTGGGGTCCAAAGAGGGGAAGTGAGGCCCAGGGTCACCTCCACCAGCTGGTGGAGGAATTGGGCGGGAACCCAACGTTCACCAGGACTGTCTGTCCCGCTTGTGTCTCAGTTAACTGGCTGCCAGCTGCCGCCTTTAAAGCACCTCCCTTTCCCTCTGTTGCTATGCCTAGCTAACTGATCACTAAGTGAAACTGGTATCACATCTGCTCTCCCTCCGCCTCAGCAGTCCCTCCTCACTTCTTACCACATTCTCCAAGAGACTTCCGGATTTAGCCCAGTAGTTTGCCTTGTCCTGAAATCTCTTTCACCCATCTGGGCCTGGCTACAGTGTTACCTTTTCTCAGAAGCCAGTCATGCTTCTGTTACATTTGTTTTGTTCCCAGGGGTCCACTCCATTCTCAGCTCTTACAGGTGTGCTTCCCTTCGCTGGAGGAGGGCTCACAGCCTTCCTACCAGATGG